TTTAGCTTTTTCAAATATTGTGGTACGAGTTGTGCATTGTTTTTTGAAGAAGAGAAACAAAAAAGAAAAAAAGTTGCTGTTTTTTCAATGTCCCTCTTTGGTTTGAGTTTCCTGTTTGTTCTTTCTCTTTGGTTCACTGGATTTTATGTTCAGCACTTTGAAATCATAAATAGTTCTGATTAATCTGACCGGCTGTGTCCTGTGTTTTGATTCTTGAGAAGAACAAAGGACCAGATTTGAGCTACGCAAAATACCTGTGTGTGTGTGTGTGTGTGTGTGTGTGTGTGTGTTCAGATGCAAAAGCCTCTTGGCAGGTAAAAGGCCTCATCCCTCTCCCAAGGGACCACCGGGCTCTCACAGAGAGTGGAGGGGGATTAGGGGAGAGAGGAGGGGGGAGGACGAGGAGAGATTCATGTTAGCATGAGGTCCAGATCAGCCTCCAGCCTCGTTAAACACCATCGATCGCCATGGTGACATTTCACAGCACATGCCGTCTATACTGTCACTGCCATCACTCACTAGCCCCTTCCGCGCAACAGCATGAGCACACACACACACACACACACATACACACACACACACACACACAGTCTCCGGGACAGCCAGGTGATTAATAGTAACTGTGGTTGTGACATTGTCAACGAACTCTGTCGCTGTATGTGTGTGTGTTTGTGTGTGTGTGCATCGGCACATGACACCAAATCTTCTCTTCCAAGTTATTCAAATTTGTCCCTAAAACTTCCAGTACTTCCAGGCTTCCAGTACTACACAATTACCAGAAAATTGTGTGTGTGTGTGTGTGTGTGTGTGTGTGTGTGTGTGTGTGTGTAGATTTGTACAGACAAGGATCAGTTCAACACCTCATGCTTCTGTGATCGTCACGTTTGTGTTTGATCAGCATGCAGACAAAGACCACTCACACCAATTTTGTAGTTTTTCTGCGTATGTGTGTGTGTGTGCGTGTGTCTCGGCTGTCTGTCCCTCTATAACACTGACATTTCTGAGTGACAGGTAAAATACCACGACTACAAAGCAGGGAGCTCTGCTTGATGAGGGAAACACACACACTACACGTGCGCACAAACATGCACACAGGCACAGCCACACACACATTGAGCTGTCAGTCTCCCTGCCAATCGATCAGTGCTGACAGATAGCAGATACACCCAGAGTCTTAATTAGAACTTATATATACACACACAGACACATAAAGAATCAATTTTTCTCACTGTGGGTTCATAACTTATCCTAATCTATTCAGAAATGTAAATTTAAGCCTTCGAATATATATTCTATAAAAATAACCTCAGAACAAATATACATTTGCAATGTTTCTGCCAAATTTTCATGATCTCATATTTTTTATATATAAGACATTGTGTCACGTCATAGTCCAGTAATAAATAATAACATGAGTGATTGACTTCCATTTAACTGCATCAGATTCAGGTGCTGATAATGTGCATGCCTGTCACACTGATACTGGGACACTGATGTAGAACGTTAGTTCTCAGAAACAGCGAAGATGCGGGAGGATAGAACGGTCCTATGGATAGATAGAAATTACACCTGACTCCCTCTGAGTACACGCACACACACGTTCTGCAGAAATACCACATGAACTCAAATATTTTTCATGATTTACTGTCTAGATATCATCGTCTGCTTTGTTCCTCCTCTGTTTGCAAGTTCGGGAGTCCCCTGCAGTGGACAAACACACGCATGCACACAGACCAAGGGAATTCCCCTGTTGCTGGGGACTGTGTGTTTTACTGTGGCCCCTGGTACAGAGCATCCGCTGACAGTGGAGTGTGTGAGGGGGTGGCCTGAATGTCAAAGGTAAAAGGTCCTGAAGAAGAGCAATGGAAACATGCAATAGACCCACACATGAGCTGATCTCAGCTTGGAGGTGGGGAAAACCTAGTTTTCTCTCTTTATCTTTTCCAAACACTAACACAGACAAAAATACCACATTTACTGTTTCGCTCCACAGGGTTGACCCTATTTACAGCTGCAGCTAAAGAGAAAAGAAAAAACAATATCAGACACTGAACCAGAATATTCCTCTCTTTGTTTTAAACTGAAGCAGATCATTAAAATGTATAAATGTCAGATGTTATTTAATCATGTTAGGGTTAGGGAGTTTGTGATATTTTTGTCACAGCTTGAAATTTGATCATGGTCACATTTTCTCTGATAGCGTAGCTGTTATGAGTAGTTGTGACACATGGTGACCACACAGTCACTTTCATAACTGCCCTTTTTACCAAAAGAATTATCACCATAGAGCCGAGCTGCAGCCAGAGCTTTGATAAGTTTGAGGTCGTCAAGTCCAAAGAATTTCAGAAAAACCACCCGAGAAAATGTTGACTTGCTACATTTTTTTAGATTAAAAAAAATAAAAGCATAATATCTTATTTTATTTCATATGTTGATTTAAAAGTTTATTTATATTTTCTGCAACTTTTCTCAAGTCAAAGTGTTGCGGCCTTTTTTTTGTCATTTATTCAACGTTTTCCTCATAACAGTGACATTTAGATTTAATATTTAGTCTAAAAATTCAGTCAGAACCAACCACAAGAACAGTGTGTCTGCTATAAACCCTGTACTCTCAAGTTTATTAAGACATGGCCCAGTCGAGGCATAATTAATACTACTACTATTAATAATAAGGACAATGATAATAAGATTTGAATAGGAGACATTTTAATTTAATTTTAACAGATGTGATGATAAATAAAATTGTGATTGTTGTACCTTTCTAGTGCAAAACATTCAGATAAGACCTGTATTAAAAAATAAATAAATAACTCAATAGGATTATTTCATGGTGTAATAATAGCTTTTCACTGGAGATACTAACACAGTTCAGTTTTGGTCCCACCACGGGACCCTGTGAGGAGGAACGATTTGTAACGCCGGTGGTCGGAGGTCGGAATCTTTTCGCTGATGCACGGGAAAGAGAGTTGTTTACAAACAAGAAAGTGTCAAAAGAAAAGTGAAAGCGTCGCTGAAAGCTGCGGGTTTAGCTCCACGTTCGTTTTCTCTTCAGAATGGAGACTTGTAGTCTCTGATATCAAACACATCACTGGGTGATATTCTCTCTGGTAAGTGTCGCCGTGTGTCCTTTAAGTTTCCTTTAGCCTTCCTCCCCCTAGCATCACACTGGCGTTTGGAACAGAGCTAATATAACTCATCTTTATTAACTTTGATATTTACCACTTGGAGCATGTTAACAAAAACACGTAAATGTTTCCTGGTGTTTGTCTTTCATCCTCCTTCAGAGAAACTCCGAGGTGTTAATGTTTCTATTGTTAACAGCTAATATTAACCTCAGTGACTGAGTAGCTTAGCATGTTTATCATTAGACTCTTGCAAACACTCACATGGCGCCGTGTTATATGGAATTGCAACTGCATGTTACTATTTATTATTTCCATTAGTGATGATTCAATCCTTCATTCTTCAACCACCTGTTTTATAATTTGTGGAGGAAATGGTGAAGAAGGGATACCACAGTCAGGGATGGGTGATGTGGCTGAAAATGATATGTGGATAAGAGGATTTCACATCAGTCGATATCGATATTTATCACAATAAATGTCACATTATTGTGTCTTTTAAGTTTACAGACTGATTTTTGCTGCTGGTTGAAGGTTGTGGTTTAAACTCTTCTTTATGACACTTGATCAACAGCAAAACATTTTACAGATCTGAGGTAGATGTATATATACATATATATTCAACAGGCTGGATTTTGGTTATATTGCTTTTCATATCGTCTTATCATCACAATTTCCCATTTGGACCTTAACAAATAAAAGGGTACTTGATTTGAAATTTAATGGATTTTATATTTGCAGCTAATTCACCCACATTTGAGAAGCTGGAAATAGGAAATGTTTATTTTTGCAGAATTAATTGATTATCAATATTTAAAAAAAAAAAAAGATTATTATACAAATAAATGACTTTGAATTTTCTCTTGACTGAAAATAAAACTGATTGACTGAGTTTCACTGTAGATGCTGTACTTTCTGTACGCCACACAAGTAATAGTTCTAATACTCTTTTTACTGAGCGCAAGCTGGCAAGGAAAGAAATGTATTCATCTTATGGCGCCGCCAATTTTAGATGTGTGGGCAGACTTGCATGTGTCACAGAGTTTATTTTTCTGATTTATGTATTTTTTTAACATACTCTGCAGGCTTTTCCTGTGTCTGTGGGGGCAGATAGATAAAACTGAGCAGGTGCAGTGTCTGAAGTTACACAGAGGTGTTGGCTGTGGGCAGTCTGCAGGACACATGGCAGATGAAAGCAACAAGCTGACACTGAGGCGCCTGGAGGCACCGATCCACAAGTTCATTAAAGTGGCTCTGCCCACGGACCTGGAGAGGCTGCAGAAACACCACAATAACATACTGAAGGTGAAGACGGAAATCTGGCTGCACACATGATCTCACCCTCACCTCCACAGTCGTACTTCCAGTCAACAGATGGACAACTGATACTTTTCTCCTTCATTTACACAGTATCAACACAGCCAGCAATGGGACCGCCTTCATCAAGAGCACATCAACGCCAGCAGAACTGTTCAGGTATCATAAGAGACACTTTTAAAAAAAGCACCAGTGTCTGTATGTGACAGATAGAAAATGATAACTGGCCTGTCAATAGTTTACATTTGAAAACCATGAAACTTTATGATATTTTTCAATTTCCTGATGACAATAAACTTCTCATTCAAAACTTCCAGCCTCTCTGTCATCACGGAGGCATTAACTACATTTTTCAAGTCTTACTCCTGCAGATGTGTGAATGTGAGGATTGTTCAGATGATGATGGGATTCACCACCTCTTGAAATTGCATGACCTTGCAAAAGCAGAGCATGTTTTTTTTCTCAAACTGTCTGGACAATTAGGTGAAAGGAACTACGGGTTTTCTGATTTGAGTGTGAGCGAGGATTTCACATTTCAAAATTAAAAGTGATGACCAGTAGTAGCAGGACATGAAGTGCTGTCTTTGTCAAGTCAAATATAGACAGTGTTCATTGTGAGTGTAGGAGATGAATATCAGTCGTTTGTTTCAGAGCCTGTTTAAGCTGACACCTTTCTCAAACAAATGCATATTGAACTGCGTTTGAACACAATGAGGAAGTGTCTGGGACAACCACCTGTTATTACATCACCAAGTCACATAATGAAAAACTTTATGATCTCAATTGCAACTACATCTGCTGAGGAAGACCCTGAGATCTGGTTAAATATAATACAATAAATTAATGTAAATCTATGCACTTTGAGTTTGCTCTGAAAAAGTAAGAAATAAGTAAACATGCAATATAACAGGGAAATATTGAAAAAAAGATCAAATATAAGCAAAACACATAAAAATATTTTGACGGAATTTAGTTCTGCATAGAAATTCCCTCTTTTGAAAAAAATCAAGACGAGAAAGGAGTTTCTAACAAACCTTGAACACGCCAACGTGTGTGTGTGTGTGTGTGTGCGTGTGTGTGTGTGTGCGTGCGCGTGCGTGTGCGCGCAAGTGCTTGTGTACTTGTTCACATGGTGAGTGTGAAATGCCTTTAGGGATGTTATTGCCTGGAAGCCGACGTGTCTCTGAAGGTGAACTAAGTCCAAGCAGACACACACCTATCCTCTCACCATTCCCTGCAAATCCCAGGGACATACGCAGAGTGCTTTCTCATGTCTGCATGGTGTTAATACAGAGTATGGGTTAGTCTGCTCTGCTTTAGATGTGTACTGTATATACTGTAAGTGTGTGCTTATGTGCCAGAGATAGACAGTAGAGAGAAGGTGACTGAGTATGTTAAAGTTTAGACTGCCTTTCTTTCCTTCTTGCTTTTCATCCATTTGTCTTCAGTCCCTCCTTGTACAGAAACAGGCTGCAGTCTCTCTCCTCACCGATGATTGACATTTAGTCCCACTAGCCTAGCACCAAGCTAGCCCCCAGAGGAAGTCGCAGGCAGACTCAGTGCCCCCACCTTTGCCACAGCAGACACTGTGAGACAGCGGAGCATAGTCAATACTGTTGTATCATGAATATCTGCTATTGAGTATGTGGTTGGTTGTCTATCTGTCCGTCTGTGCTTTCAAGCTACTTACGGTCATGGTTAATTTGCAAGCTGACAGGTGTCTGACCTGACCGTCTCGGTGTTAATCAGTGTGTTTTTCGGTCTTATGCACATGAGGACAAGTGTATACATGTATGTTTATTCATGCTGTGTAATTAGCCGAATGTGTTATCGGCAGCACATTGACCCCCTGAGCCCGGGTCATCCTGCGGCCTGGAGGGCTGATGGCTGGGATGTAATCCTCCTGTCACCCTCAGGGCACGGCGGGATGAGGGGGCTTGTTTTCTCCAGCCTCACATCTGAACCTTATTAAGCCCCGCCAAAGTGCACACGCACACACACACAAACCAAGCAAAATGACCATGAATCATTATTTTTAGGTGGATTTAGAAGAAGTAATGTATATTATTGGTTACTAGAAGTTTTCAGGTTTTATGTAGCAGGTAACATCAAGTTATTCCCAGTTGTTTGGCTCGACAATCTTGTGCTGTATGTCTTTTTTTTGTTTTATCTATATAATGTATCTATAACTGTCGCCCTGCAGCAGCTGAGAGCAAACATCAGAGAGATGGAGAAGCTGTGCTCTCGGGTCCGTGCCGAAGACGCTCATGCTCTGGAAGCGCTTGTAAAGCCAGTCAGGGACAGAGCATCAGCCGCCGCATACGACTTCTTGCTATTGCACTCTAACCCCGTGCCCCAGCCCGCACCACCTCCATCACCTGCACCTGCCAGCAGTTGCCATGATGACGATGATGTGGGCAAGGAGTCTATGTCTGGCGGCAGGCAAATACAGCTGCACCTTCCAGAGATTCCTGCAGATCAGAGTGCGGCAGAGTCCTGGGACAACTTGGAAGAGGTACTGTGTGGAGCTCTGCGTCGATTTACACAGAAATTTAAACCAGGGTTAACAATGTTTGAGTGTCCTATAAGCTGTGGCAGTGCAACAGCGTGAACATCGGGCCCAGGACCCTGAAATAAAATGGAATTTAGCCACTAAATGTGCTATATCTAATGTAAATGACCCATTTTACCTGTTTCTACAGACAAATCTATTTCAATCTGCTTCGCTATATTACATATTCTACACATTATTACTGGTTAATTCAATCGTCCATCTCTAAAACTGACAGTATTGACTTTGACTGCAGCTGTAAATTTGTGTGATGAGCATCATATTGAAATAAATCTAATATTCTCTTTTCTTCTCAGGATCTGAAGGAGCTGAGTGGTTTGGTGACAGAGTTTAGTCTGCTTGTTCATGTGAGTATGAACTCCCAACTCTGCCCTATATCTCAACATTGTATGCACTTCTCCAGCTACATGTGTGCACAGCTACGCCTGTGAACAAAAAAAATGTGACGGAGTCGGTTCGCCTATGGCGTTTCCAGGAAGTAGTGTGTATTTGACCGTATGTGCTTGTGTTGCCTGGTAAGGCTCCTCCGAGAGAAGGTTACACAGATCAGCCCGAGACTACCGCTGGGGCCTCGGAGGCCCCTCATCCAAAGCAAGAGAGGAGGCGGGGGAGAGAGGGAGGATTTGGGTGAGGACAGCAGGTTGTCCACAGGGAGTAAGGAGAGAAACAAGGGATGCATCGGAGCAGGTGGAGAACAGACGGTCCAGATTATCACTCTATCCTCAGGGATGGAGGGAGAGAAGCAAGGAGGCAGGGTGAAAGGAGAGATTAACGGAGAAAAGAGAGAGAGAGAGAAGATGTACTTAGGTTAGAAAAAACACACAGAGGCATGGGGAGGGAAGAAAGAGCATAGACATGTTGTTGTGGTGTCTCTGGGGTGAAAGACGCCGTTAGGGGAGTAATATTCCAGCGCTCAGCCACAGTGGAAACACTGAGTGTGTTTGAGTGTGTGGTTGTTTCTGTGTCTGTACGTGCGTCATGTTAGTGGATGTTCCGGTGCTTGTCTGCGTGCTTCTGTGTTTTTCTTTCTGTCGTCTGGGGCTTTCAATTAACTAAGATTTTTTCAGCTGTAGATTTCTACTGAAAGGACAAATTAAAGAATTTGAGAGTTTAAATTTGTTTTGCTAAGAGAGTCGACTGAAGACAGCTGTGGGGTAATCAAAACGTGACCACATTACAGAGAAATATTTAGTTTCATTCTTTATAGCTCCACCAGTTAGAGAATTAATGTGCAAATATTTTGATGATAAAATAATTGTTTTTGTGATTTTTCTTTCTATTCTATAATTTTTGTTTTCATTATTACACTTTGGTGACATTTTATGCCTTTATGAGTAAGAAATTGTGTAGAAATAAGATTAATCGAAAGGGAGAGATGCAACAGTCTCTAACTGGTTCAGTTCTGGTTCATGGTTGACATCTACCCTGTTAATGTTTTTTTTTTAGCAGAAGTGTCAAACGTAAAATTTGCAGCATCTCCAGTGAGAGAATTTGATTCCTTGTCTTATTTTATCCTGGACATTTAGGGCGCTGGTGCAATAAAACAAAAGATTTGGAGGTGTCACCTCTGGGTGTGGGTATTTTTCAGTATTTCACTACTTTCAAATGATTCATTGAGAAAGCAATCCGCAGATTCATCAATAATGAAAATAGTTTCAGCCCTATTATCATTTAATCCTGAATAGTATGGCTCCTGCTTGTCTGACCTAACAAGACTGAATCTAAGACTGAAAATATTTAGTTATAGGCAGCTTTTACCTGGGAATGTAAGAGAAGAGGTCAAATGGACAGAGCTGAGTGTCTCAGAGTGAGGAGGTGAGAGAGGAACAAGCTATTTTGAACATAGGTGAGGCAGAGGAGGAGGAGAAGAAGATGTTCTGGTTGTTGTTTGGTCACTGTCTATCTGGGCCTCACATGGAGAGAGACAGCTGCCACTCTGAATATTTCATGAGAACTACACAATGACACACACACACAGACACACTCACACACACAAACACACCGTATAGCCCCACCCCCAGTATAATCTCCATTGAATATACCTTCAACCTCCACACACACACACACACACACACACACACACACACACACACACACACACACACACACACACACACACACACACACACACACACACAAACCCTTCCCATGTTATCTTGTTCTGTGGAGCAGAATCTGGACACTTAAGAAAACGTACTAGTGCACAACAGGTGGTTACTCTTTCACACAAGGAAATGCATGTGCTAGCTGTGTGTGTGTGTGTGTGTTTCGTGTGTGTTCGTGTGTGTGTGTGCGTGTGCGTGTATGTGTGCGTGCGTGTGTCTGTTTATATGTGTTTGTGTGTCTAACTCCTTTGCATCAGTCCCAGCAGGAGAAGATTGACAGCATAGAGGACAACGTCAACACAGCCGCTGCCAACGTGGAGGAGGGGACCAAGAGCCTGGGGAAGGTGTGTATGTGTGTGCTCGTGGGTGTGTGTGCTTGTGTGATTGTGTGTGTGCGCGGTGTTTGGAAGATAGGGAGATCGATGGCACTTTGCCTCCCAGCCATTCCACAGCGTTTGTCCCTATTGATCTGTTCGAATACGGAGGAAAGCTGCAATTAAGGAAATAGAGAGCAGAGAGGGATAGAGCAGAGTGGAGGGCAGGAAGAGTGATAGAGAGGTAGGATGAGAGGTTGACAAGCGAGGGTCTGTGTGTTAGTGTGTGTGCAGCATTAAAGAGAGGTTTGAATGACTGTTTAATAGTTTTTCAGGAGCAGCATTCAGGCGGCAATGTCAATTCGATACACTCTTAACACTGAGTGTAACTCAGAAGGACAAGTCAGTGCCCTTCACACATATTACACACTTGATGAACTTTTTGTCCGTAATACCCAGAATGAATCACTTGTTCTTTTAAAAACCACAGTAACACAAACACACGCAGCAGTCAAAGCGATTCTTTCTAACTAACTTCCAGTATTTAGTTTTGGATTCAATAAAAGGAAAGAAATCTTCACTCTTTCTGATGAAATAATTCATGTTGATCTTAGTTTCGCTCACAGGAACTAAGATAGTGCAAGACACTAAAGTGCAGGTTGCTTTCAGGGGAAGGTATGGAGGGGAGAAATAATGTAATTTCATCTCACTTGCTTTGATTGTATATAATGGTGAGAATACCACAAACAAAATTCTGATCTTTTGTCTCAGAATTTCATCTTGAGGTGGCAGCAGGAGTCCCAGGTTATTATATTAATAGACACAATCATAAATATCAGTCCTCTAAATGTGCCTGATTATTTTCATCATGATCCATGAAATATATACGGTGGGAAATCAGTGAAAATGGCAACAAAATGCCCAACCTCGCAATAATACAGAGAGTGAGTAAGAAGTCCGACCATTCCACCAAGTGTCAAGAAAATCAGTTCAGTCGTCTTTGTGTAAATCTGCTAAAAGATAAATGCCAATAAAAAAACATAACATCCTTGGCAAAGGTAAAAATCTAAAAAGACAAGGCTAAGTGCATGGCTCAAAACTAAATACTGTGCAGGGGCCTTCAAACAATTTGAACCTTTGTATATAATGATTACTTCAAAAATGAAATATAGTTTTTAATTTAATTCTAATTGAATTCACCCATATGGTGACAGCAATAAAGGTTGACCTCTGTAAGTTTAGCAGCAGATGTAGTGGGCTGCACATTGTGGGAGAGGGGTGTGGAGAGATAACACAGATGAGAGGGAAGTGAGATGTTTGAAAGCTTGTAATCTGTCATCAGGTCAAACAGCAATACACACACACACACACACACACATGATCAGTCTCACAACACCCACATTTCCTGCCGTCTTCCACAACCTGTACCCAGAGTCCTTTTAACTCAGCTGAAATTAAAAATTCCCTCAACTGCCACAGGGGTTGGGTCAAGCAATGCTGGCTTTTGAACTAGATTAATTTAATGGTGAAGTGTTAATCAAGTGTGTGTCCGTGTGTGTATGTGTGTGTGTGTGTGAGGGCGGCCATTAATTGCCATCAGCAAAGAGCACCTTCCACTGTGATGATAACAGCCGTAATAACACACAGGCCACATCTCTCTGATTTCTCCTAAATGAAGATAATGAAAATGCTTTGATGCTGCTGTGGAAGAGTCGGTTTACATTTGCACATGCAGCCTCGTTTGTGTCGGGTTTTTTTCTTCCTTCCTTCCGTTGGTCGATGTGTGATCATGAAAGGATAGACACATCCAAACTCTATCTCACTCCGTCTTCAAGCCACAAGGTACTAATGCCTCCGTGTGTGTACGTGTGTGTCATATTAAAGTCGAGCGTGTCTCTGCCTCGCGTCTCTCCAGGCGGTGGGCTACAAGATGGCGTTGCTGCCAGTTGCCGGGGCGCTGCTGGGCGGTGCGTTAGGAGGACCACTTGGGCTGCTGGCGGGGTTTAAAGTCGCAGGGGTGGCCGCTGCTCTGGGAGGGGGCGCCCTGGGGTTCGCGGGGGGCAACCTGGTCCAGAAACACCGCAAAGCCAGAGTGGATCTACAGATGAAACAACTGACAGCGCCACCACCCGACGAAGCGGAGTCCAGTAAAGACAAATGATGTGGTCCGCCTCTGACCTCAGCTGCTGGTTAATCACTGAGGTGTCCCATGTTGACTGACCAATTAGGAGGAAAAACCAAACTCAAAGAGACTCAGTGTTGGACTTTGTCGTCTTGTGTTTCTGGTACCAAGCACCGCGGTGAATCAATGACACATTAACAGCCTTATTTTAGAGTTGGATGCTTTTATGTTTGTGTGTGAATAGTGTTTCTGTGAGGACGTTTTATACACACAACAGTTTTTTTTTTTATTGTGATTACAGCAAAGCAGTGATTTTTACTTCAGCTGTGAGTGAGGCCAGTCGGACACAGCCTGACTCATTTCAATTTAACTGACACATATATTCTGTAAACGCTGGTGGGTGAGACACCTGTTTTCACGATGGTTTGTCAGTTTACCTATAATCATGACTCCGGTCACACATACACAAATATGAAGCAAATGTCGCTCCCTGGCTCACACAGATTAGAAGTGAGGGGAAGGTTCACCACTGAAACATTTGCGTATGTGTGACCGTCCCTCATGCAGGAAATAACATGCTAATGTGAACAGCTCTACTACTGAGACTTTATAATAATGTGGAGAATTTTTTTTTGACTACCATCTCTGTTGTGCTTCATTTATTTATTTATAAATGTAAATTTAAAGTGGCACTGCTTCAGAGTTTATATCAATTATTCTCCATTTACACACAGACCTGTTGTTTTTGCACAAAAAGCACCAAAGTGCCATCGTTCAGATCAGCTCAGTGTCTGGACTCTAACAATCTGCCATGTATTCATTTGATCTCTGCTGGTTTTCTGCCAAATAAAACCTTCATTTTATCACTCATGTCTTTTATTCAACAAGTTAAACTTCAAAACATTCCTCAAGTATGACGGATACGAAGGAACATCAGAATCCCAGAATTATCCACTTAACCATGATTGAAGATAAGTTGAAGTTGCCGAATATAAAGAGAATTACCATTAAAATGCCACGTTATCTCACAAACTACAAGCAGTCTACTGTAGTAAATTTTTACCAGGTTATTTATGGACTCAGTTATCAGTTGCAAATTGGTTTTGTTGTACTAATATCTGTATCGTTGAGAAATAAACCTCAACAAAACATTGCATTGAAAACGTTAAGAAATCAAAACATTTTAAATGATAAATGAACATTAACATATTTAAGATCTACCTCAAAATAATTGGGATGTAGTACATAATATTTCAGATGTATATGTATTAATTTTTATTAACTAAAATTCAAACAATTTAATTTCAAAATTCAAATGAATGAATTTTAATCTTTTCAAGACTCAGCAGAAACCCTACGGTTGGAACAAAAGAACAAATGACGGCAGTAAAGTTCAGACAAACTCACAAACAACGCATCAGACGAGACAACATCCTGTAAAATGATTTTAATTTACTTTACTCTGCTTCCCCTCTGAGATGACTGGTTTGGAAATGGCATCACACTACCCCCTGTTGATCTCCTGTATGCGGGCTGATATGTCACTATGCAGGCATCTGCGGAAGGGCAGGACGCACAGTGCAAACTGAGCAAATGGGTCCCCCACACTTGTGATCGAACTTCAGCTTCTGCATTTCATTCCCGCTTCACTTCATTCTGGGGACCTCAGGGTTCTAGACATGTACCAAAAAAATCCCAAAATACATCAGAGGAGACAAAAGCCAGTTTTGAGAGGACTTGTATAAAGTGAGACTGAAATTTCCACTGTTCATTAAATGATTTTTCCCCCGTTGTCTCTCGACTTTTTTAAAACACTAGGAGGGACGCAGTCTTTTCTCCCCCAGCAGGACACATTTGACAACAGGTAACAGCAAAAACAGCCATTTCATAACTTTACTACCATGTTAAAGTACAGTTCAAAAACATGTTTTTCCTCGACTTCGATTCCCAGGAACACAACTCAGGGGTGTCATGGCAAACATCGTGCCTATGAAAATGACCCATTCCCCTTTGACCTGTTCATATTTTACTGTTTTAAAGCTGTGACGTTAATTTGACTTTAAGACACCGACTAACAGAAAAAGACAATTTCCAATTCAAATTTCTACAAATTAGTGTCAGGGTAGAGAGACTGACAACATTTCTGATTGGAGTCATATCCTTAAAGACAATTCTTTAAAGAGGCACATTTGGCATCAATTTTAGCCACGAGCTTATGTGGCTGAATGTGTAAAACTACATCTCCTCCACCTTTCTTAGCTCTGTGAAATTAGAATGTGAACATTGGCCATGCAGGCAGATTCTGGATTGGACTTTAAAGTCCAGAAACAGATTTATCCTTCTTGTCATTTGCGTTAATTCATGTTTGAGGTCCTCTTAAATAAATTAACCTAATCAAAGGTTTTCTTTATTGTTTCTGTTTGTTGCTTCAATTTGGAGCTTTCTACCAACACAAGCCATCCAGGGCCGGCAGCAGAGAAGCCTCCTTACAGCATGATGCTGCCACCAGCAGGCTTCATGGTGGGGGTGGTGTCTTTTTGGTCATGTGCAGTGTGGGAACAGTGTTTTTTATGTTGGTCAAAGGGTTTTCTGTTGATTGGTGACAAAAATAAAAAAAGGTCAGAGGGGTGAATATTTTCTACAGGCACTGTAAGATACATCATTATCTATTACCATTAGTACCAGGGAGAGCAGGGGTGCATCTCAATAGACTGGAGTAGCTCTGTCTCTTTATCTTCTGTCTCAAGTCAGGATTTGAAATTATTTTAACCCTAACACCAAGATATTTCTAAATATTTTTCTATTCCTTCAGAACTCCTAGATTGTGTGGAGAAGATATGGAGATACAGCTACTTCAAACAGGCATATAGTTAGAACTTGTGCTATACAAACAAATCCGACAAGAGTTGGTCATTTTGAGACGCAGCCATGAGGTCAGTGAGACTAACTAAGCGCCTCCTATCAGACAAGCCTGACTGGACTACCCACAGATAAGAACCGTACAACTGGAGTGAGGGAACTGATCCGTTTTTTTTCCTACAAAAAGCAGGGTGATGCAAAAAAAAATAAAATAAAGAAAACTCTGCATTTAATTTAGACCAACAATGAGACTCCCATGTAGCACAAACATATTTACAAGCTCCAAAAAAATAAAAGTAAAAACACCTCTCTTGATGTCCTAATGCTCCTAACCCCCTGCCCACACACACTTCTTCTTTATCCCCCACTTTCTTTTAATCCAAAATAAAAATTGTATGTGAAAGATTTATGAAAATATAGGTTATTCCAACATGGTTGTGTTATGGACTGTGCTCCTCTCCATCTTCCTCTCCATCCTCCTCTTCTTCATCTCTCACTCTTCAGTAAGGGTGTTGGGTGTTGCTGTTCTGTCCCGCTGGCCTGTCCCAACCCTAACCCCCTCCCAGACCCCGGGGCGTGGCATTGAGTCACAGGATCACTGAAAGGCTGTAGAGGTCACAGCTCGTCGCGGTCCCGACTGAGGATGGTGTATCGAGTCTCGCTGGGAGCTAGCTTTTGAAATGAGCTCTCTGGAGGGCTGCTGGCCACTTCTTCTCCCGTCTCCTCCTGAAGGTAAAAGTCAAATTCAAAACCATCCATTTTTTCATGACAAAGAAAACCCAACTTTCAGTGCCTCCACAGTGTGTGCTGCTGTCTAACCTGTCCAGGTGTGATGTCTGTGGGGTCAGGACCATGGTGGAACTCTCGGTGAAGCTTTCCGGAGTTAAGGTCTAACACAAACTGTCTCAACTTGCCAGGGATACTGCAAAAAAGACACAAATGTACAAATTGAACATCATGCAAGAATTTTTAGAGCAATCGCAAATGATTGTACGAACAAGCTGGATTCACTAAACTGTCTTTACGGCAAAAACGTGTTGCAATTCCCTCATTTCATCTATGTGCTAATTTGTGAGATTTAATCCCAAAAGAGATTGCTTCATTCAATATTACTACCACTGAGCTTCATGTGCTGATGCTGGAACTCAGCAGATGAAAAAGAAAGAAAGAGAGTCACCCTTGCATACCTTAACGGACAAACCCCTTTATAATCTAGCTTCCCATTCCCACATCTTAATGGACAACCTGCTCTGTGCCCAGAGATCACCTTCCCCCACAAGCTAAATATCAAAATGTCTTTCTGAAGCAAAGTGATATGGGAGGCGGTCATGAGGATGTGACAGTCAGGGAGAAAGGCACCAGCAAATCAAACCATAGGTTATGTTACACTGTCAGGTGTTTTAATAGAGGACGTTTCCCAGGAAGGTGAACTGCATTAAAGACCCTTAGGCAGCTGTTGGAGAATTTTCCTCAACAACTAATGAATGCTAAAATGTGCCAATTAAAATAGAATAAAATCATTTCTACGAAAAATGTTTTTCTTGAAATAAATGAGCAAGCAGCAATTATGATATGGTGTGAACACAAAACTGATTTTGCATTAAGTTATCGATTTGTTTCTCAAAGTGCCACTTCAAAGCAAATCTCTTTGTTAGAGAGATTCTTGCATGAAACACATCGTGTGAGTGTCAGACAAAGGCATTCCTGCACACCAAGTCCAACAATTAAGACAGACCTGCTTGAACTACAGAGCCGGCCGGACGTAATCGTTTATATGAAACAAAACAGCGCGTGGCAGCGGAAGACATGAGTCCCTGAGGACATGTCATGAAGCCACATTAATCCATATCAGCGTTGTCCTGGAGGAGCGCTTATTAACGACAGGTCATGAGCTGTTGTCATATCACACAGACAAAGCTGGTCCCCAGTTGCAGCTAACTCTGTGTGTCAGGACAACATGAAGACACACACGCACAAACATATATATAACATACACTGCGCTAATGTAATTACAAGCTGTGCACCACATGCAGTGGTGATGTGATGCAATTAGGTTGTGGAGGCTGGTCAGTCCTCGGGGCTTCTGTCTATCTGATCAAACTCTGATTGGGGACTGGGGGGAGGCAGAGTGGTGGAAGGGGGGCAGAATAAATAAGATTAAATTAGATTAGACTGGATTAGTTTAGCACTTATTGCACGTGCCAAATCATGTCACATTAGCACTGGTGTCCCAGCCCATTCATAAAGGACGGATTTTAGGAGGTGTGACATTTCTCTGATGTTCAGTGTGCAGTGGACTGTGGTGTGTGTGGTCCTGCCTGTGTATGTGTGTGTGTGTAATGAAATTAACTTTATTTTAGGAGAACCTGTTATGAATAATTTCACAATGATATCATTTAGCTCATCAGCATCAGGCAATAACTGTTCAGAAATGTCCGAAAGTGCTGAACATATCACATCCATTTGACATGTGGGTGATTCATGAGTTAATTACAGCTGCATCTGTGGTGAGTTGTCATTTATATTTGGGCATTTCTGCTTGTGTAAAAAAAGTTGCCAACTTCTAATTGCTAATGTTCAGAAGAGGGACATATGTTGGTTTAACATATGAAACATTTCGCAGTCAATCAAAGGTTTTGCACACATGCATCCACATAATAATGTAAACAAAGTGAAAGGTGGTACTTACGAGAGATCTTTAAAGTCAGGAAAGACATACATGTGTCTGAACGAGTCTATAGCGATGACGGGACAGTCGGCTGGAGTTTTCTGGATATGGAGCAGAGGATGGCGGAACTTTTCACAGTCTGCATGAAGGAAGTTTACAGACCCTGAGGAGGAGAGAGAAAATACTGTTAACAATGTCATGAAAACCACTTTGCCCATATGGCTTTTGACGCGACGCGATCACAATCCTGACACGTATTACATTTCACAACAATTCACCTTTCTCACTGATGAGCTGGCGAGCTACTTCGTGTTGGAATTTCTCTAAGCTCTCTCCGTCTTCTCTGATGTGGAACAAGATGAGGAAAGGGATCCCTTCCTCAGTCAGCTCCTGGAAAAAACACAAAGGGTAAAAAATGAGTCTATGTGGCTTACATCCATGTAAATCTACATATCTATACTCAAACATCTGATATCAGGTCACAATATAGATAATCATAATGCTGAAATGTCTTTTTATGCAAAAGCAGACAACAAACCTCTCCATTTTCAAAGGTGATCTCTCTGACGAGGGGCACACACTTGTCTTGGGACCAGGCGTAGGTCAGGTCAAAGTTGGCGAGTGAGCCGAGGTAGATCATGTCAGGGACGCTCTCGCCCACAGGTTTGTAGATGATGTTGTCTCCACTGAAGCGCTCGGACTCAGAGACAGAGCTGGAAGTCAAGGCGGTTAAGAAGAGTTTAAGATAAACTATGAAACAGAAAATTAAATCAATGGGTAATATATAACTCACCCAAAGGCAGCCAAGAACGTGCAGTCATCTCGAAGGATGTTGGCAACTTTTTCATATGCGTGGTAGCTGTCCGAGTCCTTTTTTTCAAAGTAACCGATGATGTTTCTCTTTGACCTCTGTTCAATAGGAAAGAAACGGTGTTAAGAAAATAACGGATTCACTTGCATGATGTGGAAATTTGTATTTTATTACCACCACGTGTTTGTCACTTACATCCAGAGTGTTAACCTCTTCCATTGAGTTCATTTCTTTTACGGGGTCGACCTGCTGTTGGCGTATGAAGTCAGCTATGGCCACCACTGACCTCTGACCCCTGTACTCCCTCTTCATCATCATCCCATTGCGGAACAACTTCAATGTTGGGTACTTAGTGATGCGGTACCGCTGGGCAATTTCCGCTACACACAGAGGCAGAAGGGAAAGTTAAGTAAAGAAGGACAAATCAATTGATGAAGAGGAGGAAATGGAGTAAAAACACATGGGGGGTGGGTGGATGAGGAGCAAAGCAGTGATAGAGACGGCGACTAAACCTCAGCCTGAAAACACTGCCTTCAGTCAGCTCGGAGCTCTGATCTCCCACATGAAAGCTGCCCCCCACCAAGAGTAAATATTCTCTCTGCACACAGTGAATGAGTGTGTGTGTGTGTGTGTGTGTGTGTGTGTGTGTGTGTGTGGCAGGTGTCAATCTCCCTGTGGGGTGTCTCTAAGCCTCCAGTCTTCACAGGAAGCAGCGGTTTTGTCATTAGTCTTCAAACAGTTTGCAGGTCATCAATAATTCTCTTTAATTTGCTTTATCTCAAAAGGCTGAGGCTGACGGTTTATGTGTCTGTGCTTTGGTGTGCTGGGCATCTATGTGGACATATGTGTATCAAATATAATGACAGATTGTGAGTGTGTGTGTGTGTTTTTTGTTTCTTGTATATACACAGTCAGGGTGTTCTAGCAGTTTAGGGCAGTATATCACCATAAACAACAACCACCACATATAATTAGGATACATACACTTACAAGTCTAACAACTTGTATAATAGACTCATTATTTATAGGAGCAGGTGAGTAACAACACATTCATTTTCCAGTTTCAGCTTTAACATTAATAATAATATTTCGACTTGTCTCTTCTTATTTTCATGTTTTTAGTTTAAGGGTACATTATTGGTGGCACTTTTGTTACAACAAAAACAAAATAGACATAAAAAAGTTATACTCACAGTGTTGGTCACAGTCGACGCGAGCAAAAACCACCTGCGTGGCCTCAGGAAACTCCTGCCGCACTGTGTTCGATGCCTCCTCAAAGATTGGATGGAGCATCTGACTGAATCTGCACCTGCAGGGTGGTTGAGAAAGTAAGAGTGTGAGCTCAAACGGCTTTCTACAATTTGTGAGTAAATTAGGTAAATTTGTTTTCCGCATCTAGAACAAACCTTGTAGTGTTTGATTAGGCTGCTGAATTATTTTTTCTGAAATAGGTCATTTACCTTCTGATTAATTTGAACTCAGAAAAACTTACATAATGTGCAAAAGTTCAGTGAGTGGGGGAGAGAAGCAACACACTTACCAGTCTGCGTAGAAATTCACTAAAGCCACCGCAGCATTATCTGCAAAAAAAACGCACACAAACAGAATATGAATACAGGATTCTATTCTTCTATTTAATATTATTAAATGGCTACATATTCTGTTTATTAAGAAAAAAATAGCATTTCAGCAACTGCAATTTATGACCAGTGACTCATGGCTACTATGATGAATATTAAATGAAATATGTAAAAAGACTGGTAAGACTGTGAGAAGGCCGCAATAGGTGTGGTCATTATAAACACATGTGATGGCAGGCATCCAGGAAAAATAAATTTGCTTTTCCATCTCATCGTCAACCTCATTTAGGGGTTACATGAAAACATCTGCTTTGCACAAAAACAACTAATTTAACATTACAGGCTGAGATCTTCCGAAGCTGCTAAGTTTCACTGAAGTCTAATAGGTGACATGTAAACAGTCTGATGAACTGGACTGAAAACATAAAATCCTCCCAAAATAAAGAAGATGGTGAAAATTAATGAACATCTCTCTGCAACAATAAAATAATAGACAAACAAGAACTGGTTAGGAAGACTTGGGAAACTAGAATATTTGCTCTCTGAGAAGTAAATAAAAAGGAAATAAGTTCAAAGATAAGCTCAGCAGCTGCTGGCTGTAAGTTAATATGGTGGTGGTATCTTCTCATCTATGTCTTAGCAAGAAAGCAATATAAAAAGTACATATTCTCAAAATGGAAAAATATTCTTTTAAGACACTTCTAAGAGGTAACATCCGGCGTCTTACTTAAGACATCATCAATGTTGCCCGAGTCCAGACTGGTGATTTCTGCTGCACCGGGGGTAGAGAGGCCCATCACCTGCAGACACACAGGTAAAACACACATCAGCAACTAAACACAAATATGCTGCTTTACATAAGGCGGAAGCGAAAGAGACGAAGTTAACAAACTGGTTTTTCAGTATACTGCTAACTGGCATTCCTACAGAGGTGAACACCAGTATTCAAACTGAAGTACCCACGACAGAACTGAATACTTCATAAAAAATAGGGTATCGCTTTGTGTAATTCTAACTATTTTTATTTTGAACACATGTACTGTAATTGCATTTCTATAATTTACACCATGAACAAATAATGTGATTATAACACACTTGATATGAGCAATCTTTGGAAAACCTTTTTGTCAGACAGTTTCTTTGACATATTACCTGCTAGAAACCGTAGAATAGGGTGTTTATTCAATATTAATTTTCTAAGAGAAAAATGGATTGATCTTCATTAAATAAATAAAAAACAGGCATGTATTAGGAATTGAGTCTCTGCAATTTTGTGCATTTCAAAATGAAAAATCCAGGTCTAGTGAATTTAAGCATGGTTTCATAAAGAGACTGCTGCCATTCTAGTTCTTTCCTGCATCTTCCACACTGGATCAAACAATCATGAATAAAGTTTTAATTATGATGAACAAACTGTGGATTTCTGAACTCCAGCTCTGATTACAGCAATGTATAAAAGAGTCCTGTATGACAGAGATTAGAGCAGAGAAAATTGAAGGCCTAACATGACATTCACTGGTGGGTCAAATGAGGAGAAAGAGCACAGAAGCTGGCGAGGGGCTGCCTGCCAAGTGAAATCACAGAGACAAAAATAAACAAGGCAACTGTAGCCTGAATGAACTCTTTTATTCAAAGAGCCTATCTGCCAGATAGCCTCATTGAAGCTGTGACAAACACAAATATCATATATGGATTCAGTGACAGAACCAATGGCACAGCCAGAGTTGGTGCTACTCTTTGCTTTTCTGAATAACCTAAATATGTGAGTGAACTTCTGCTCACACACATTGCGGTGGTGGAAATCAGGACACATCTGGAGACATCACAAAACTTAGGTGTTTAAGCCAAAATATTGGGGAAACATTCTGGATATACTGTAAACTGTCAAATAATTAGATAAACTCTGATCACATATTAAGCAAACAGAGAATGTTGTGGATACAGTTGTTAATACAGTAAAACACTGAAAGTCAATCCAGACTCTTTTTTGTAAATATAACTGAACCAAACTTTTGCCACAATTCAGTCAAGGAGTTATAAAAGATTCATCTCTGTAGGTCGCGATAATGATTTGGAATGTGAAAAATCGTAAAGAAATACATACACTTCACATCATTTCAAAAATGTTATGTGTAATATTAATAATATTCAATGACCATGCAGCAAAGCTAGTACCTAGTATCCAGCTTTTGTTCAAACACCTAAAATTTGAATTATGAGCTTTAATGTAAAATGTGAATTAAAGAGTTAAAAATGTACAATTTCATGAAAATTGGATACTTTCACTTCCAACTAATGCATGCAACTCACCATTATCTATTACCAATTCATCTTTCAATTGTTTTCTCAAATAAAATATGTTGTTTGTTCTTAATAATTAGAAAATGGTGACAGAATCGCAACTTCCCCAAAAACCAAATGTGACATATTGAAAGGTCATGTTTTGTCAGATCAACAGTCCCAAACATTAAAATATTCATTTTATTGTCATGCATGACAAAAACACATCGACTCTTTGGATCGGAGAGGCTGAAACCAGAGAATATTGTAATTTTGTAATAGTGACTCGACACAGTTGATTAACTAGATAATGACAACAAATATTCTATAGATCAACCAACTGTTGCAGTCGTAAAGATATATTTTCCTGTCTCCATTAAAAAGTTGGATCCACACAGCATGACACAGTCTAGTATAAAAGTCCCAGCTGTTGAACCTGTGAGGATTCTTCTCTGAAGCTCTGATACAAGTTCTCAAGTTTTCTTTACAGGCCCAAACTGCGCCCTGTCTAGTTCCGGGTTGTCAGCCAATAAGAATGAGCCACAACAGAGGAATTCACCAACCGGCGAGCATCATTCAGAGACACACGAAGAGTCCAACAATAGCTTTGTGCATCTCTGCAACAACAAATATGAAGGTTGAGCGACTCCTGCAGAAACCATTCAGTCAAGAAAAATGTTTTGATTAACCGTGTTAGCAATTAGCCCCTATCCTCCCACTGATACTGTGTAATAGCATCCAATGCTAACCGACTACATCACTCCCAAACAAAGTTGGTGCAACTGCAGCTCGTGTGTTTACAGTTCTAGAACATACATTGTGTTATGTGGGAGTCGTGGCGTTATATAAGAGGGATTACGGCTAAAGAAAACCCCAGCCAACGTGATTCAACGCTACCGGCTAAGTCGACACTGCAGCTGGATAACTCGATTAGCTGTAGGGGGTCAACTGTGGGGGAACCCCGGTGCAAAGGGCCCCTCGGTGAACCTGGTGAATACCTGCGGCTGCAGGAGAGAGTGGGCTTGTCACCTTCAACACTTTATTAGCCACGTCTCAAGCCACCACAGGCTCGTCGCTTAGCTAGCGGCTAACCGACGCTAGCTTAAAGCAGCTAGCTGTGGGAGCGCGTTACAGACCGCAGACTTACCAGCAGTATGACCGTGACGCAGCGGGTGTCCAGAGATGGAGATGGGGCGAACAGTTTCATTGTACAGTGGAGTTATCCTGGAGGTGCTGCTCTGGAGTTGTCCCTGTTCTGTCTCGACGCCGCTGTCCTCACCGCAGCAGGAAACCGACGGCGAACAGATCTCACGGTGACCACGGAAGCGGGAGTGACGCTTCCGGGTATTTCCTCGGCATCCTGGGTAATGCAGTCTCCAGAGCCAGGCTGACGGTGGAGCTGAGCGATGAGGAAAACTCCAATCATGGCGGTGTATGTGTGTGCGGCGGCGATGGGAGTTGTAGTGTTTAGTGACCCAGATTGCGGAGATGGAACGGGACGGCTCGGAAGAAAAGTTTCCAGTTTTTCATCTGAGAGGAAGAGGAATCAAAAGGTAAATACAGCACCGACGAAGCGGGAGTTTAAGTTACTTTTATAAAAAGCCACTAACGTTACACTCAGTTTATTCGATGCCACACGTTCTGTTCCTCGTCACCGATTTTACTGATTTCTCTTGAACAGGGGGGAGTTGCATCATTGGGACTTTTTCTGTAAATCTCTCTTCATCCTGTTTTTCACCATCTTGCATGTGTTTCATGGCACTGAGGGAAAACACACTCCACAGCACTAAACTGGGGTTAGGGGACATTTAGGTACTGTGATGCACAACTCTTCACAACCAGGTTGATCCCTAACTCCTGCAAAACTTGGTGTTTAGTGGCAAAAGTGGAAGAAAGAATCAAATTTACCCAAGTGAGAGGCTAAACTAAACACTGTAAAAAAATCCTGCATTTAAATTTCTTCTTCTGGTTAATACAAGTGTTAATACATTATCTGCAAAATAAAGTCTCCAAAGTAAAAGTACTGCATTCTAATGACCCCTTTTCAAAGAATGGATCCTGCAAGATATTGATTAGAAATCATTTGCACAAAATAGGTTAAGCATATGATTTCTCAGGCATTCAGGAGGTCTCCAGGTTGTTTTGTTGCATGACAAGTTACAATTTAATCACTCGTATTGATGAGCTCATGTAAATCCCAGCACCAGTTTTCTCCAGCTCCACCCTCATCATGTCCAGTCAGTCACATAACTGAAAACACACGTGTGGGGCCTTTAATCTATGATAATACATCATGTTTTGACAAGTCATATGTTTTCAATGTGAAATCAAAGCACTTGTTGTGACTGTAGCTGTCAGATAAATGTGCAGTAAGAACTACACTGTTTCTCTATGAAATGGAGTAAAAGAGTAAAATAGCATAATTAGAAATACAAAGCACCTACAATACAATAACACCAGCTCCACAGCTCACTCAGTGGGAAATTCTAAACAATTTTTACTTAAAGATTCAGTGTCAGTTGTATGAATTGTTGTTTGATATACCCTAGAACCCTATATCTAATGCAGTGCAGCCGGAAGTACAGATATTTGCTGATTTGTGTGGAAAAATACACATAAAAGAATCTACCGAAGTAAAGTACAGATACATTAAAAAAATGTAACTAAGTAAATGTACTTTGTTACCACTGTACTTACAAAAGATTGATGCATCTCACCAGATTATATTAGACTAATGAATCCGTCTGTGATCAGTACAGTCTAATATGCTGGCAGTCTTCAGTGTGAACAGGTGGGCTGCTCGCAGTACGTGAGTGATCCTCTTTTTCTGCCCACAGCAGGAGCCAGGATCAGGGCAGGTAGGGGACCTGGACGTGCATCCACACCCACCAAGGATGCACTAAACTGGGAAACATCTGCCGGAGTGTGCCCTTCAACGCTGCGATGGTAAGAATCCCTCACACTCCGAGCAGATCCCAGAAGAGTTTTATTCTCTGTCGTTCCTGGTTGTATCTGTAGGTTACTTTAGTGTCTCCCGTTTGTTATTCTCTCTCAAGAGTCAAGACGAATGTGCAACAAACATAATTGCTTGAGCCGTAACAGCCTAATTGTTAAGAAGATTAAGGTGAAATGTTGAATTGAATCCCAGCATTAATATTTTATGGGCTAAAGCTGTCCACGGGGGGTTCTCAGTGTGTGTGCATCTCACAGATGGAGTCAGAAGAAGATTTACCTCTCTCTCCCTGTCAGATTATCAGTGATGGGGAGAAGCAAGAGCAGAATTTCTTCAGTGCTAAGAAATAAGAACAAAATAATCACAATAAAAAAGTACTGATTTATGTCATTGTATCTACTCACCACTTGATGAGTTATTGTATTAAAGTACAGGGTTGTATTCAAACTGGTACAAAGCGTTTAAGAGCTTTTGTCAAGTATTGCAGAAAACTTTTTATTCAAATTTGTAAATCACTGGTAAACATGTAAGATCTGTAAAGTTCAAAATACAAAGAAGCCAATTAGAATTTATTCAATATAAAAGTTGCAAGTGTTTCAACGCTTATAACTGAAGATAAGAAAATGGATGAATGAAACCAGAAAGTGGTCAGAAAACCAACAAGCATTTTTTTTCAATACTTGTTACCTCTGCCAAGGAGGTTATGTTTTAGTCTGCGTTTGTTTGTTATTGAATAAGATTACACAAAAACTATTTAACTGATTTCCAAGACATTTTGTGGAGGGGTGGGGTATGAACCAACAAAGAACCTGTTTAATTTTGGTGCAGATCTGGGGGTGGATCCAGGATTTAGTTTTTCAATTGTTTAACATTGAGAGAGGGTGATTTTCAACATTTTATTTCTTTCTCTGAGTATAATTCATGGACCTCTTTTTTTTAAAATCCGGTTTAGGGGACTGGTATTAATGCATTTGTGTAATTTGATGCAGATCCAAATAAAGATCATAATCTAATGGATTTAAGTGTGGTTTCACAAGGGAACCATTGGGCTTTTGTTAATGAAGTTGTGATTTTCTCTTGATGAACTGGTTGCTGAGTCAACAAATATCTCTATAAATAATGACAGATGTATTTTACAAGTTACCAGTGCTGAATGTGTTCAAAACTCAGAGATGTTCATTTTACAATAATTTGAAACAGACAAAAGCTAGAAATGCTTCTTTTACTTGACTAAAAACATAATCAATTAATTGATTTTTTTTTTTAAATTAGCAACATACAGTTTTCAAATGCAATATATTTTCTACAGTAACTTTGTCTGAAGCTGTATTACACAGCGTCCAATCACAAAACATGCAGTACACACCCACACCACCCCGCCTGCACTCTGACCGTCCTCACCCTTTTCCGTTTCTCCATCTTTTTCCATTTCACGTTGCTTCCATTGATTTTTTTGTTTGTTTTTCCAGCTGATTATGTCCCTGTACTCTGATTCGCCGATGGGCACATTGCTCTCTGCACTTTAATTGGACATTTAATTAGATCACAGTTTTAGTCCAATTAGACTCAGAGGTGTGGGGAAAAGGGAACGGAGGGGAGAAGAGGCAAAAGTCCCCGAGCTGGTCTCGCTCTCTCTGCCCCCCCTCCCTGTTCTCTCCCTCCTCTCCTAACTGTTTTTCTTCATCTGTCTTTTTCTGTCCGCCTCGCTGTCTCTCTCTCCCCTCCCTCCTGAGGGCGGCTCATTAGTGATATAATGGGATGACACAAAACACACAGCTCTCTTAATTCTCAGAGTGTCTAGAGCAGCAGCTGAACACACACACACACACACACACACACACACACACACACACACACACACACACACACACA